GTATTATCATCAACCACGTATGAGTCCATGAAACCTACGGGTACCAATACTCCACGTCTTTACGGTCTACCAAAAGTGCACAAACCGGGTCTTCCTCTTCGCCCTGTTTTAGATATGTATAACTCTCCATTTCACGGAACAGAGAAGTGGTTAGTTAAGATCCTGGGTCCTTTGCACAGAGAAATCGTGCAACATCGAATTAGTGATGTCTTCGACTTTATTTCTAAAATATCCGAGACTAATGTGAGGTATAAACGCATGTTATCCATGGATGTATCATCACTATTCACTAACGTACCGCTTATGGAAACAGTGGATTATATTTGTCAAGAAATCACCGATAGGCAATTAGACTTAGGAATCCCTTTGTGTAGCCTCAAAGAATTACTTCTTAAATGCACAATGAATGTTCACTTTGTCTTCAATAATTCATACTATCGACAAGTAGATGGAATAGCTATGGGTTCACCATTAGGCCCAATATTAGCTGACTTCTTTCTCGCAAAACTTGAAAACGGGAAATTGAAGGATACCATCAAGGAGTTGGATATGTATTACCGATATGTCGATGATACATTTATCTTAGCTGATGAGAAGGTTAACACAGACGAATTGTTACTTAAATTCAACAACATCCACCCTTCGCTTACCTTTACTTGTGAAGAGGAGCAGGAGAATAAACTACATTTCCTGGATGTCTTGCTAAGTAGGAGAGAAGATGGGTCACTTGGGAGAAGTGTGTACAGAAAAAGCACATTCACAGGGCAATACACACACTTCCTTAGTTACGTGCCCATTAAATATAAAAGGAATCTTGTAAAATGTCTCGCAAGCAGAGCAAGAAAGATATGTACGGATGACCTCTTACAAAAGGACCTTGAATATATTCACGATTCCTTGACGGAGATGGGTTATCCGAATAGTTTCATAAAGAAACATATGAAACCATCAGAGAAAAAACCTGTGCCTCTGACTGCACATAAGAAACCTCTATTTATTAAGTTACAATTTAATGGTGACTTATCTAGTGAGATTCTATTCCAAAGACTTTCAAGGAGCATACGTAGAACATTTTACGCAGCACACTTATGTTTGTCATTCTCTAGCCGACGAATGATTGGGACGCAAACGAAGGATAAGCTTGACAGTTTTGCCACATCTATGTGTATTTATCAATTCAACTGCACCTGCGGTGACAGTTATATTGGGCGTACTACTAGACAGCTTAGCCAACGTGTTAGTGAACATCTGCCATCGTGGTTTGCCAAAGGACAGACAAAAACAATCCGTAGCTCAATTCTGTCACATCTAATTGATAGTGGTCATGTAGTCGTTAAAACGAAAGCCTTCAAAGCAATTCATCGTATCCCACCGAATCTTTCTAATAGACTTCGTATTCGTCTACTGCACACAGCTGAGACGATAGGCATTCGAACTATTAAACCTAAACTATGCATTCAAAAGAAGTTCGTACAGCCATTATCCCTCCCGTGGCCTAATTAGACATAAACAACTAAAGACTTCTACACCACCCCTTATTTATATTTCCAACCCCTTTCTTATCATCCCTTAATCTTATCTTCATTATAAACGTGCTTCATTTCCTTCCCTTACAATCTAAGATTACGTGATCGGTTCATTTGTTTTTACTAGCCTTTATCGACTACTTCCACCTGTTGTTTGATTAATCATACTGTTTTTCATTATTCGTGTAATCACAGATTGCCTCATTTTTTCATCCTTATTATTGATAAGACCATTATTATTGTTATTACTATTATCATTACCACTATTATGACTAATTGCACAATTTATATTCACCATCGTATTATTCCATAGACAAAACACCATGATTGGTTTATATTTGAATTTTTATTTGTAAACCTATATATATATATATATATATATATATAAAGCCTGACGAGATCTAATTGAAAACAATATTGTTCGCTTAAATGTGTTGTTCTTTTGTATACACAAAGACTAGGATTGTTCTCTCGAATTAATTCCCATAGCTTCGGCTATGTGTAAAAGACAGATTCGAATTCCGTTCGAAAGGCCCGATGGAATGCGATAGATAACTTTGAAGGCACTATTTTTGTCCACTTGGTGACCACTATCAATCAAATAAGCCAAAATAGAACTTCTTATAGATTTTATTTGACCTTTTCCGAACCATGAAGGAAGATGCTCATTAATGCGTTTGTTAAGCTGTCTAGTTGTCCGCCCTATATAGCTCTCTCCACAGGAGCAACTAAATTTATAGATACACATAGAAGTCGCACAGCAAGGTAGCTTGTCTTTCACTTGAGCAATCATAATTGGCCGGCTGGAAAATGACAAACAAAGGGTGGCGGCAGTATAAGTTCGCTCGTTTTATTGCTTTCGATAATCTCACATGTAGGACTTCGCTAGCCACAGCCCCATTAAATTGCAATTTCATGAACAGTTGTTTCTTTTCAACTGTTGTCAGCTTCTCTTTATTGTACTTGGTGTGTTCATGTGTCTCCTTACAAATCTACTAGGATAACCCATTTGAACCAACATATTTTGGATGTATCCTAACTCATTTTGTAGGGAGTCATCTGACCAAATTGACTTTTTGAATCGAATTAATACAAAACTGAGGAAATGTGTGTATACTGTCCTACAGATGTAGGTTTTCGATATAAACTCGGATATTGAAAGGAATTTATCACAGAATAAATTTGCGGTCAATGAACTCCCTGAGGATTTATTATCTGATTTCATGGAATATGTTGACAGAGTAAGCCAAAACAAAGTGAAGAAGAGGAAAGCGAAACTTATCAAATCACTAGACAATCAAAATCCTGAAAAGGGTTTCCCTTCATTCCCTTGAGACCTTTATCGGTACGTCCATAATTTTTCAAGTGTAACACTAGATAAATTACAGTTAGAAGCTCTATCATTGGGTCCTAGATTTTGTGACCAAGGATATAAAATCAACTTGAAAACCCCCTCCTACAAAGAAGAGATTTGATTCCAACGTCAGCCGATGACGTCGCTAGGTTTAAAATTATACTAGTCGACAGTTGTCAGCAGTACAAAAATAGTAGTCATTCTAGTAAAAGTTTGCTGTCTAAACACAACATTGAGATGCCCTAAGAAAGCTAAGGAACGACGAAAACATTATAATCAGTAGACGTGATAAAGGAGCCGGAGTAGTAAGGAATTTTTGCATAAAATGTAACCTATATGCACAAGAAATCGTAATAAACATATCATCTTTCTCTGATATGACTTAAAAATATGTCCCAGTTATGATGAAGCGCATCGGTTGCTAAGTTGGACTAGTTTCTATTGGTGTATTCACCGAAGTGACTGAATATGTGCTATTTTGTGAATCGTTTTCTCTCTTCTCTTGCTGTGCAGTCCTCTGGAAAGCCCTCGGTTAAATTACTGTGATTTCAGTAAGAGGATCGACGACTACATACAAGGATAATGAAGATAAAAGAAATTAAAGTAATCGGCAATAATAATAACAAGAAGAAATGACAGGGCAACTGAAAAATCTGTCTGTAATTAAGAAACTTGGACTGAGGCTGTTCACCAGACCTGGGATGCTTTATTCAGAAAAAAATATCGAAGAGGATTTCGCAATTATTGAAAATTCCCTAATCGAGAATGGATATCGGATGTTCTTCATATTAAAATATGGGAAAGACAAAGATACATTGAATGAAACTGGTTCTCTTTTTCGCTGTATAGCGTAGAAAAGGGGAGAAGGGAAAAAAAGAATCAAAGGTGTATTGAAGAGAACATCTCACGCCGCCATATCTATTCGACTTTTCCACACGACGTCCTCGTTAACTCAGTTAAGAGTAGAAAGGTGTCCTGTTCATGTCAACTCCAAATGCCAATTTAACAATTCACTAGTACTTGCAGCAGCGGAATAGAGGTTGTGGGCTTTGAAACTAAGTTCTATATACTGGTTTAAAAAAATTTCAAAGGATATCCTTTATCAAAAATGTTATCCATTCATTAGTATTTTATTTTTATTATCCTATTTCACATCAGTGAAACAAATACGCTGAATCCTCTTTTAGATGAACAGTTTATCAAGCTCCGCTGTGAAAATCGGTAGTGGCTGTTTGGCTTGCGTCGTTTATAGTGAACACAGAGTGAAGAGCAATCAAGTAGAGGAGTTGCATCAGTGGAAGGAAAGCAGGATAGTACAGATGAAGACAAAGATGAGTGAGTATTAGAGAGGTTTCGTGTGCATGTCTGATTGTGAGGGCGATTGTTACTTCCCAGCAGAGCCCAGGGGACAACTGCTTGAGGCAGGTCACAGGCGGCCTGTTTTTGTTCGTTCTTTATTGTTTAGTGTGTCTCAGTAGCATACTTATCACTCCTGCCCTGTGATACGGCAGCAGGAACCGCGGTGATTGTTAATCTGAGCCACGGCCGATTCGGCATGATATTTTGTAATTTTTTATGTATCATAGTGTTGGATTGGGTAGCTGCTTTTTGTTAAACCGCTATCCAAACAACCTTTCTGGCATGGTAGGACCTCAAGAGACATAAGTCTCAGCCAGTATAGCTTGATTAGGTCATTGCCGTGTTTAAGCCCGAACAACACGTCGAGGTAGCAACTTTCGGTCGGGACCCGTCAATGGCACCAGTCAATGAAATCCACAACAGTTAGTCTAAGCCACGTGGGAAGGTGTACATGGAGTGTGGCGACTTGAACTGACGCACATATATGCAAAGTTCTATGTCGAAAACAGACCTGTGAAAATCTAAATATTGCCGTGTCCAAATAAACCTCCTATAAATTGAACACTTCAATAAGCCATTCTCCTTCTGACTCAAAAGTATGCCTACGAATACAAATTGATTGAAACTTTTTTTTTCTCACAAATAAAACTTATGTGATTTTGTACAAAGTTGAGTCTGTATCTAGTAAACGAATCGCATTTTTATGATTATTACACATTACAACAGTAATAGTAGAAGTATTAATAATAATAGGGAATTACTTTTATCCCCATTAGTAGTTGTATCTTTTGAATTGACATTACGTGTACTAAAGTGTTGAAAGACTTTAATACTTGTGATTGGTGATTCATGCGAGTAGTGGAAATGTTGTACAACTCCTAGGGGAATTTGAATAAGCAACAAAAATAAAATTTATTAGTTAATCAAAATGAGCGCCAAGAGATAGAAAGAGACGAAAAACTCTTATATTATATTATGAACAACTACTACTAGGACTGTATGCATGCATTAGGATACACTAAATTATAGGTCCAACAATTTGCCACATGTCGGGGCGACCGTCGAATATAACACCATGGGCTCAGTGCCTACCATCCATCGCTAGAGTAGAACCTGAGTGGGAAGTGACAAGTTGGGAGTGCTTTCCAAGACTGATATATGCAGGAGACTGTGAAAGAAGGACATCAGAGATTATGGGCACTCACTCGTGTAGCTAGACACAGCTAAAGAGGACCACGGGAAGTAGAGAACAAAGTGGGGACATGCTGTTGAAGCCCTCTATGTTCCACCCGGAATCCAAAGGTCGAATGTGTATATACACTGCTTGACTGGAGTCCTAGAGATGTTGAAGAAAAGTGTTGGTGAGTTGTGAACTGTACTGTTTTATCGAAATGCACTGGAAAAAAAGACTGAAAATCATTCAAATTTAAAACAGTTAGTACCCTTTATGAATTTAGATAAAGCAATAAGGAAGACTTCATCTGTCTGAATCGTGTAATGCTGTATTTGTGCATCACATTTCGAACAATCTGATCACACAGCCACGGACTTGTCAAAAGAATATATATATGAAATTAATAAAGAGTTAAGAGGTGAGAAAATATATTCGAGTCAAATTAAAAAGACATATTCAAGATCAAAATGACAATGAAGATTAACTAAATAACAAAGGTAATAGTACATCTACGCTGACTGGTATCAAAACAAAGTTTACCAAAGAAAGTGGTTTAGTGTGATGGCGAATTGTTGCTTTGTCCGCATAAAGGTGGTTTCAACTTTCTAATTGCTAGCTAGGGCTTTCATAAACATTAGGATACGCCCCAAACACGTTTTATAGATAGGTTTAAAAGATCTGTTAACGTCAATTTTATGTCCTGTCTCTATAATATGTTTCGCAATAGAGGAGCTGGATCTCCTATTTTCACCATTAATGAGTTCTGGGGATTCTGTTTGCTTTGAAGTTGCCATTGAGGAATATGCTCTGAAACCAGCCCTTACTTGCTGGCAGAGATCGATGAGTCCTCCCTATGTATGTGTGTCCACACTTACATTCAAATTGGTAAATACAGTGGAATAGGACACCATTTTTCGGGTGTTGCGCAAATACATTACATGATTCAGACAAATTACGTCTTTTTATTGCTTTATCTGAAAATCATTCGACATTTCTAGTGTGTTGTGTTTTTACATGATCGTCAGCTTTTCGCCATGGACCATTTCGGGATGAAAAGAGTCATACTGTAACGGAAAGAAGACAAGAGACTTGGTAACGGGCATTTATATTAGGGAATAACACATCATCATATTTATGCATTTCTAACCACATTTAAAGGTCGGCTAGATCAGTAGACACCAAAATATTTTGATTGCCTGTCGATTTTCTGAAGGTTAAACCTTGAGACGAAAAGTTGTCCAATGAAGTTATTTCATGTTTACAGCATAAACTATATCCAATTTTGAGGAATCAACACATCTACCTTTCTGCAGCTAACCACTAACTTCAAATGTTGATTTCAGTTTTGGCCGTTTCTTATCAATCTGCACCACCACACGCTGAACATACTACAGCCTTTGAAGCTATTTTGAAGTTTTTACCGGTTGGCAGATTCTTGATGAACCGAAGTATTTGGTTTCCGTTGACATACCATCTCTTGCCTACAGACATTTCGAAGGAGATTAAGCAATTCAGGAAATTCGAATTAACTTCAAAGAACAATGATCATCAATGCACATTGGACGATAGGTGGGTCCAATGGATAATAATGCGCGCTAGCCTTCAGTCTCAGTGGGGAAACTATCACTCACTGCGACTACAAGTGTGTCCAGCTGACAAGTCTCACTGCTAGCTATAACCAATCAACACAACTATGAAAGTTTTCAATAATGAAGCTATCACAGAAATAATAGATTAAAGTCAACACAGTTGATCAAATGTACATACTACGAGCTTTCATATCTACAGCAAATACACCAAACCATCCATCCTGTGAACCAAAAGCAGACAGTCGTAAATTATCCATGATTTTAAAATCCATGTTGAGAAAACTAAACATGAAAATAAGGCAAAATAAAAACAAAAAAAAATACTTAGATGACAAAATAAAAACGAAAAAATTCATTGATAAGGTGTACGTGTGCATAAAGTAAATTGAATAAAAACGACATATGGTAAAAGTGCTTTGAAGTTCATTGTGAGTAAAATTTATTTTGATAAAGTCTCACATTGTTATTCAGTAATATTTACTGATGACCACGCTTATGCAAGGCACTGGTTGATAGTAGCACTATGTTATAAACTGACAAAGTTAGAATTCATGTGTTGGTATGCAGGGATTTGATTAGTTTCAGGATTTCACTATGAACTGACATCAGTTAAAGGAACATAGGAAAGCCTACAGCTATTTTGTCTTCGTGTGACTCCTCGGCAGTGGGGTCGAAACCCAGGACCTACTGGTTGCAAGGCGAGCAAGTTCATAGACCATTAAGCCAATGGGACGCGATCTAATGACCCATGAAATTTCATTGAGTTCTAACCTCAGTGCATGTGTATTGTTGAAGAGTTCCCAAACTAGGACGAAACAGCTCTCCAGTACTCCCTGCAGGTTTTCCAAAGGTCCTCTAACCGATGTCAGTTCATGATGAAGTGCTGAAAGTGAGAATTTACGGCTCACTGAATTCCAGCCCAAGTGGCTGAATGGCTAGTGAGGTTGGTATCATAACCTGAACGTCTCAAGTCGCATCTCTTGAGGGATCGTGCGTGCACTCCGCCGCAAGGTCCCAAACTAGGTGGAAAAAGCAGTTGTCGAGTTCTCCCTGATTTCCAATTACCGCTAACCGATTTTCGTTAGTGATGGAATCTAACAGCTGATATATTATTTTCCTTAATTGGATTTATCGGGTCCTTAAGCAGTAAAAGTTAGCCTCTGAGTGAGATGGTCGATTTAAATGTGGAATTACACTCCACCATAATGCTCAAATTCTAAAATTAATTATTCTGTGTAAATATATGGTGTGGTTCAGACTGACAGATGTCTTCGCTAAATACTAATCAAGATCAGATGGTCAGAAAAGATCAGCAACAGAGATCTCTGGCAATGAGCGAACCAACCAGGAACCGATTGTAGAACAAATAAGCAGAAAGCAATGAAGCTGGATTGACCACACTCTGAAAATCATCAAGTGACATCACAAGACAGGCTATCGAGTGGAACCCGAAAGGGAAGCGACGAGTTGATCCTCCAAGGGTGACTTGGAAGAAGTCATATGAGGAGGAGATGAAAGCGTGTGGGCAAACATAGAACCAGGTGAAAATGTTGACAGAGAACCGAACGCAATGGAGACGTGAAGCTGAAGCGGTCAAAATTAAAATTTACATTCTAAATCAATAGTTCCAGAGTCAGAATTGTCAGTTCTTCAAATCTGAACTTCATTGAACAACTTGTTTCACCTTGGACCAGTTACTAACCAATCAGAGCAATTTATTACCGACTGACCCAACCGAACTTTAATGTGGCTAAGAACGTATATATATATATATGTTTTTCCTTAATGAAAGTCTGTTACCAACCAAGTTTCTCGTCTTAAACCGCTACAAATATCGATTACACAATAGCACAAACTCTTTACTAGGTCATAAAATCAAACCAAATGAAACTTACATCGATGTAGACGGTAAATTAGCCAATTCTGGGAAAAGTAGTAAAGCTGTAGAAAAAGATAATTCCCGTAGGTTGCATTGGAGTGACTTGTCTGAGAGTGGTTTAATCCTAATTTCTCTGTCTCTTCATCATTTTCAGTTTCTTCAAGAATATTCTACAAGGAAAAAAGATACACATATGCTGTCTCATTTAACTGAGTGACAAATTCTAATATATTTATTATGTCACACGTAGGGTGTCAGGACTCATGATACTGCCAGATAGTTAAGTTTGAAGTAAGAGGATTAGGGTTTGCAACTTAAGACTTGTGGACTGAAGGTTTAGTGGGAAATCCCTCCTTCAGGAATGTCAACGAAGTATCCGTCTTTAAGCATTGGATATTCTGTAAGCATCAGCATTAGTCATGCTTTCATTGTGTCATATCTCAATCTGTGCAGACCTTTATTAATAACGTCAATGTTGACAACACCTTAGCTCCTGTAGTGTCTATAAACTTCTGTTCATCGGAGTATGTTGTGTACCCATTTGACCCTATACACTCTACGATAAATAAGAAATAATCATTAAATGTGGAAGGTACGAAATAGTCAACAGTCATGGAATGTATGTATCTTTGTAGATTAGATGGGCAGTGAAGTGTTGGTTTTGTCAGGGATTTGACTGGCTACATGATTTCATCATGAGCTGTCAATGGTTAGAGAACCATTGGAAAACCCACCAGGGAGTACTGAAAAGCTGTTTTGTCCTACTGTTTTAGACTCAAATTGTCTGTCTGTCTGTTTTCGACATAGAACTTTGCACCGATGTGCACCAGTTCGAGTCGCCACACTCCCTCCATGTAGCATACAAAGCAAGGGAAGACAGTAGAAGAAATGCATAATAGAGAAAGTAAACAGAGGTGTGAGACAAAGGAATAGTAATAGCGAAGAACATAAGTCACAAGGAGTGGATGCATCTGCACTAGTCATTGAGAACGATGACTTTGAGCCATATCACCAATTGTCTCCAGTCTTCATTGGTGTTTACCGTCCCGATGACCTCAACCAGTCAGGAAGTCTACACCTCTCTACGTGACTGGCTTAAACTAACTGTTATGGATTTCACTGACTGGTGTAGCCATTTTTTGGTTTGACCGCCGCTAGCTCTTTTCCAGCCTGACCCTATATTAGCTATCACTGCCCGTTGAGGACTAACAGTATGCACCCACCTGAGTTAAAAACCCAGGACCTTTCGGCATTGTCTCCACTTTGTAATCTTCTTGAAATCGTGAACATCTGAACTCTGCATTCTTTTATTTATTCAAACATGGTTTCTATATTTATCACAGACACCGTTTATTCTAATTTAATTTCACAAGAGTTGGTGGAACAGAGGAGTATGCGACCGTTTGACATTCGCTTTAATCAACCAAAAAAAGTTGACCAATCCAAGAAGAAAATAATATCAAATAGGTCACTTTCACCTATTTGGGCAGCATCGTTTTTCAACCATAGACGAGATCGGTCAAAGGCAGCCGCGATTGAAAATGCCAGACAAGCATTCATTACTCTGAAATCAACATGGAAACCTGATACAATCAGTATAAACAACAAGCTTTGAAGCTTCGATATATGCTTCAGAGACACAACCAAAAGCATGTCCTCCAACAGGCTACGACAGACTTTCATCAACAGCTGCTTCCACTGCATACTGGAAATCAGATGGTTAGAAAGGACTAGCTACTAGGATCTCTGGCAACAAAACAAGCAACACAACAACACGCTAGCCAAAAAAATATGCTGAACAAAGTGGAGATGGATTACACATACATTGAGACTGTTAAGTGACATCGCACCCCAGGCGATTGTCCAAGTAGAACCCATATAGGGAACCACGACGTGGATAATTGTCTGAGGGTGAAATACACGAGAGATTACATAAGACTGGAAATGAAAGGTTATGAAAAATCAGGAGCTAAAGAGGACTACGGAGAACAGGATGTAATGGAGATGAGTGTGTGTGTGTGTGTGCTGTTGAAGTCTCATGTTCCAATCGAAACCCAAGCAAATAATAATACAGAAATCTCAGAAATAATCGTGCTGTGAACTAGCTTTCCCTCTCATTAGGTATTACTCTTTACATTCATATCAACCTGTCGGTTCACGGCTGTCGCACACAAATAGTTTCATCAACAACAGAGAGTAGCTACTTCCAAGAATTTGTAAATCCCAGTGTAGATGACGACGAACAGGTGATTAATCAAACGACTAGAAGAAAAAGGAGAAAGCAAATCAAGCACTAAAACATCCCAATCGTGAACCATCTTACAATACCTTTCGGTGTGTATAAATAATAATCAGAATCCCAAGTGTGTATGTGTGTGTACATCTCAACTACAAAGAGATGGTACTACTTAACATTTAAACATTAGACTACATTTCTTTCTTTCTATTCAAAATACCTATGAAAGTTGTATTATGCGCAGAGTTTATTATTTGTTATCACCATGGTAAAATAAATAAAAAACTTACAGTATCAAGTAATTTGGAGAATATCTTGATTCGTGGTTGAGTTTTGCTTTCACCTACAAAATAGTATATAATAAAACAACGAAAAGAGAAATCGTTATTTTAGAATGAAATGACTAGTCTGATACAGGCCTGACACTACTACTACTGCTACTACTACTATAAATGCTTGAATTAGCCGTAAGAAAGTTAAAGTAGAGGTAAGGCAAGGCTACTACTTAATATCACCGATCATGATATTCTTCATTATGCAGCATAGATGAGTTACTTTGTTGCCACAATTCCACTGTGCGATATCATGCAGACTGCCCACTTAATCGCAATTAATCAGTTGGCGATCAGTGTCTGTAAGTATGGTATGTACTTGGCGCCGTCTAAGTGCAAAGTATTGTTACAAGATTGGCAGGAGAAGCCTGTATCTGCACTCACTCTTGCGGGTGAACCGCTTGAAGTTGTTGATAAGTTTGTGTATCTGGGTAGTTGTGTGTGTGTGTGTGTGCTGGCGGAGGGGTGACGGATGAAATTTCCAACCGTATAATGAAGGCTAGAGTGGCATACATCAACTTGAGCCACCTATGGCACCGTCGCAACATTAGCCTGGTTGTCAAAGGTCGAGTATACAATGCTTCGGTGCGAGCTGCCCTGCTCTACGCCTGTGAAACCTGGCCTCTCCAAGTAGCCTAAGGCGACTCTGCGTGTTCGATCATCCCTGTCTCCGCAGGATTGCTTGCGTTCGATGGCATCACCACGTGAGTAATTCTGAGGTTCGGCAGCGTGTGTTTGAACACAGTGGAGATCGCCATTTATTGAATGTCATCATCTGGTAACACCGGCTCCGGTGGCTTGGACAGGTGCTGCGAATGTCAGCCCAGAGGCTTCCATACAGATCTCTGTTCGCTAGCCAGTCCTGTGACGGGATGGAAAGGGCGGAGATGTGGTAAGTCCATGACGTGGCGTCGTGGGATGAAGGATGTTTGTGCTAGATTAGCATCGGTTGGTGTGTCACGACTCCCTGGTTGGGGTCCGTGAGATAGCTCGAATCGTTATCGGATATGGCCAAGAATCGCAGTCATCAATGGCGAACGTGTTGCGATTTCCTTCTTTCTTCCCTTCCCGATGATAGTTAACGAATACTGTTTGAACCTGTTAAGCATGACGGTTTTTCTTCCAGGTAAAGTTGTTTATCCGTTCTGTTTTTATATTTTTTTACTTTTGATCTATGCTGTCTTATTATTATCGTGTGGCGCATCTTTCTTGGTGCCATATTGTACCAAGTTTTTTTTTCTGCGTCTAAATAAATAAGACAATTCCAGTGTTATTTATTTCATATGGTTAAAATAAGTGTGAATACAAAGAAGTGGTTAGAAAGTATTAAGAGTTTATCAATAAAACGTCGATTGATAAGGCTGTCACAGTAGGTTAGACTAGTATGCTTTCAAAAGTCAGAGTCCGATCAGTTATAGAATCGGACGATATATAAATTTGTGAGGACAATTTTAACAGTGTTTAACAAAGGCTTACTCTGATTCGAAGTTTCAGTGAATGGTTCACCAAAAGACAAGAAGAATGCCCATTGAAGTTCATCTTTAATTAAACAGCTAAGAAGACAGAGAGGAAAGAAAGATATTCTTAGCGAAGCTATAAATATATTACATTGTTAGACTATCTTGAAAATTACGTAATTAAACAAGAAAATTCAGTCTCAAAGGATTAGTTTGTTCTTAACTTCAAATAAAGCCTTACATGACCCACCATGAGATTCTACTTCTCAGCGAATACAGTTCACAGTCTCATGGATAATAACAAATAACAATAGCTGTAGTAGTGCTTGTACTCATCAGCCAATGACAGATTCATTTAATACATTATGACGGCCGCTCATTGATAATATTCCCCTGTGAGACAGACAAGGACTTAGCCAAGCAGGCTAGTAGTCACTGGCCACAGGTATTGGCATTCTATCTCCAGTCTTAGCCAGTAGAATATGGTGAGTAATATTGACGTCAGGCGTAGAATGTTCGGTAGGAAGGGAAATTCAAGCAGTGAGGTTGTGAGACTACATGGATTGAGATGGTTGGAACACGTGTTACCCATGCCAAGCAATGCTAGGTGACATAGGATTACTTCCATTATGGATAAAATTTATTTTGCAGTAATATTTAATTATTTGAGTACCTTGATATGATTATGAGCAGTAATAAATTGTGCTCGAAACATGGTCATCAGTAAATATTATTGTATAACACTACACTGTGTGATTTTAGCAAAATAAAGTTTATCCATAATGGAAATATACGCTACCACAGTGCCCAAGTTTCATCAATATAGTAATAAAACATAGGATTAGGTTAAAAAATAGGGCAAAGTTCAACAATAGTGTCCCAAGGGATGCGAACCCACGAGTGACCTTCAGCCAACCAATCATAAGAATGAGGAGTTCTTGCACAAAAAATGATGTATATTTATTCCTGTTGTGCAGTCTTCCCCGAAAGCCCTAGGTTGAATTACTATGGTTTCCAGTAAGAGGATCGACGACTACTTACCAGGAAAATGTGGATAAGAAAAAAATAAAAATAAGTGTCACCAACTACAAATTTATCTTTAACACTAACACTAACCTTAATCCTAACCTTTATCCAAACCGTAATTTTAAACCTAATGCTACTTATGACTCTGACCCTAACCCTAATCCCAATACTTATCTTAACCCTAATACTGACCCTAACGAGATATTAACATATTGTCCAGACAGTACTTAAAAAATGTGATCTGGATGAAATTTTCTGATTAGTCGGTGAATAGCCTTGATATTGCAGCTATGATAATGACAGGTGCCGTTGGCCAACGACTAGCATGTGCACAAGGTCACTGGAGCGTTCGCACTCATGGGACGTTATTGTTCAACTTCACCGAAAATAGCTGGGAGTAGGTCAAACGAAGCAATCCACACAGTCTCTCACTGTTGATTTCAGCTACGTAAGGAGATTCAGGCTGTCTGGTTGACGTCATCGGGATAGTAAGACTATGTATGAGTAATATGATTGAAATTTGTTCTTACTGGCACAGATGCATTCATTCTGTGCAATCGTCCAGATCCCTTAAGTCCCCATGTTTCTCCCGTACATTTCGGTTCATTCCAGTTCTTTTGATTTTCTCCTACGTTTGTGTGCTAAATGGAGTCTGGTAACTTGAACTGCTAAGCTTCTGTAGAGCTGTTCATTGCTGAAACTCAGTTAGTCAGTCTGATAAAATTCCTAAACTCCAAAAGAGATGAAAGCGGTTTATATTCATAACAGCTACTCACCTACACAAGTGAGCTACAGATACAAGACGAGCGATGTGTTAAGTCTTAACTTTTAGTTTCATAATACCTCTGTTAAACCAATGTCTCAAGACTACTGTTCTGGCGCTCATTGATAGTCTGTCTGTTTTCGACATAGAACTTTGCACATATGTGCGTCAGTTCGAGTCGCCACACTCCCTCCATGTACCATACAAAGCAAGAGAAGAAAGTAGAAGGAATGCATAATAGAGAAAGTAAACAGAGGTGTGAGACAAAGGAATAGTAATAACAAAGAACAATATAGTTTCATTGGAAATCAAAAGTCACAAGGAGTGGATGTATCTGCACAAGCCATTGAGAACGATAACTTTGAGTCATATAACCAATTATTTCCAACCATTGGTTTTTACCGTCCCGAAGACCCCAAACAGGAAGTCTACACCTTCCTACGTAGCTTAAACTAACTGTTGTAGCTTTTAGTGACTGGTGCCATGTTTTGGTTTGACCGCCGCTAGCACTTTTTCAGCCTGACCCTAAATCAGCTAATATTACCTGTTATCGAGGAAGGCGATGACAAGGCATACGTAACACATGTCCTAACCATCTCATTCAATCGATGTAGCTTGACAACCTTGTCGATTGATTTCCCCTCCTTGCCTAGCACTCGACCGAAGCCTAACCTCAATATTGCTGACCCAATTATACCAGTTCACACGGGAGATAGAGCACAGGCACCTATGATCAAAGCTAGCCTATTCATATCTTCCTCTTTGAATGGCCATGTCTCAGTCACAGCCACAAAGGAGGACGGAGTGCACTGCAGACCGATAGCTGCTACCTTGACACGTGGTGGCCGGACTTGCACATTGCAACGACTCAACAAGCTACAACTGGCTGGAACCAATGTTCCTGCAGGTCCTACCATGCCAGGAAGGTTGTGAGGATAGCGATTAGACAAAACGCAGTTACCGACATAGTGCAAGCATCTTTCTATGCCAGCTATGCTATCTGTCTACTCTGCAGACAGAGGGTCAGAAAAGGTCAACCCCAAAAATTGTACATCCCGACTTACCCCACCTACGGTGGTCCGTAACCGGCGGTAAGTTCACTAATACGGAAGCAAACCAAGAAACCAGTTCATACAGGCCGTGTGTGACCAGTCAGCATCAAACAGCTGTCCCCTGGGCTCTGCGGTCACGCAACACTAATCGTTTCTCTCTCTGTTTCAGGTACACGAAGAATCAAGCAACTTCCACGGTGTTTGGCAACCGGGAAGTAACAACCACCCACACACTTCCAAAAACACACGAAGCCTTCCTGACCGCTAATTGATAAGTCTCAAAGGTGAAGGTTAAAAAAACAGTTAAGAAAGCAGGATAAAATGAATTTATAAATCTTAGTAGAGTTTCTCATGTTAATTTGCTATTAACTCCCCCTATAATGAATAGTATACCTTTTTACATACTAAAATCTGGTGCTCTTGACCAAAATTTATCAAATACAATTAATTCATTTCTTAATTGAAAACTTACTGAGCATGAACTAGGTGAAGAGGAACACAAGGCAGTTTTGAATAACTCAAGCAATTCTCTATATAATAAAAGAAAAGCATAAACCTCACATAAATTGATCATTGTGTAAAGAAAAAACATACCAGGGAGTTTCTCTTCAGATCTTGACCTATAGATATTAAGATATCCATTCTCTCCTTCCTTGTATTATTATCAAATCAAATACACTTTGTGTGTTTTTACCTTTACAAAGCCAACAGCAACAAAATATTCATCGGTGATTTCATCGTGTAAGGCATTGATACAAACTATGTCCGAGGCACCTTGACAATTTAAACATCATTCAATATAGAGACGTAAAATCAAAAAAAAAAAAGAAAATACCCGGTAAGTAGGCGAAATCAATCGTTTTTGTCTGCGGTTGAATAATACCATCTTCTATATCAAAGTGGTGTATAGTGAAACAATATTTGCTGGCTAGTGGATCACTGACTAAGCTGAAATAAAAGCAAAAAAGAAACAACAAAAAGATAAATGTAAACGAACTTACCTGGACGCAGAAATGCTACCAATAGGCAATAGGTTTTTTGCTTATTTTTCTCATGTTTTATATTACCCGACTGCATATAAGTAAGATTGTATATATTTGATTGAGCCAATGAAGGGAAATGGCATAATTCCACGTATGTCTGTAGACCCAATGAATTCATTGTTGAAAGCATTCGACAACGAGGAATGCTGACTGACTACTGGATCTTTCTTCCCAGCTAGGTAGGCAGGTAGGTAGGTAAAGGAGGTTGCTTCTCTCAGATCTCTCCGATTTATGCTGATTGTTGTTGTCGCTGTTGGCCAGGAATCTTCAGAAAGTAGATATTTGTGAAGATAATCACCGAACGAAATTATACACTCATTTCACAATAGAGTTCGATTAAATTCAAAGCAACAAGCAATTAGTAAGCACTAATTTTTTGTTCAAATTTCTATTTGAATGGACACACAATTCATACGATGATTTTTAGGCCAACCAAAAAGCAATATTTTATGATGTTTTACATACCAAGGTGACCACCATCGACAGCTAATTAGATTTACAGGTGATGGTACTACAATTGCTCTCCAGGACTTGTTAAATAAGTTCACCTATGATCCAGCGTTTGAAACAGCGGTGTGAATAATGGATAAACTAGAGTTACTAAAACATGCGTATATCAAAGGCCGGGCGGTGGGGGAAAGAGTTTCACAGGACAACAAGGATTTTGCTGTAGATAAAGAAACAATAATCAATATAATACGCACGAATCGTTGAAGTGCCGTTGTTCAAGTTAATGACATAACTTGGGGCTTCACTGATGCCGCTATCATGTGCTTCTGAAGGCACGGACCTAATCCCTATGTTATCCCTGATGTATGTATAGGGCAACCCCGCCACCTTTCCGACTAATTACTTTGTCCACTCTAATGCAGTTGTACCCAGGTATGAGTGGAGTTAAGTCTACCCCCACCAACAACCATGTCCCAGTTATAGCATTTACGTCAGGTTGTATAGTCTTTCAGATAATACTCCTAATTCGGTGAGCTTATTTCTAAGGCTACACGCGTTCGTATGGCACAGTGTGTTTGGCAACATCGGTTTTCGGGACCTCACCACCCGAAAACCCAATAGTTTGAGGTCTTTTTCTTATCCTCCTTCTAGCTTGGTCTTTAGTTCAGCTACGGCTTCTCTTCTCTTGGTTCTATCTGCTAACGGCCAATCAGGCCTTATTTTTAAACTCTTATCCTTGATTTTGAACAGGTTGTCGAGGATGGTGCTCCTCTCTGTCTCGTTCCCTAAAACTATCTTAATTAATCGTCGAGAAGTTTCCGTAGCATCAGGGTTTCGTTTTCCGATCCTGATGGCCTTTCTTATGTGAACTCCAATTGTTTTTTCTGGAATTATTCCCCTAATAACGGGGCTTACTGCCTTCAGACCATCTGCATGTCGGGCAGCTGGATGTGTTTTTAGATCCCTCTAATTTGCACGTGATATCACTGTAACTAAGGTCTGTTGGCTTCAGAGTTTGCTTGGTATAAACAACCGTTGGTAAACTCGGTTACTGTTCCTTTCCTACGTTCATTTAGTTTCTTACCTGTCGGCATCAACCAAGTCGAGTCGGCATCTACCACTTTGTTTTCGCCGCGACTAGAAGCCATTCGTGCACTAGACACGCTGCTTTTTGGCGTGGCCATTTCACAGGCTGGTATTACCATGCTGGCACTACTTGCCCTTTTGGATTCCCTTTGTTTTTTGCGCTTTGCCGCAACAGATATTCGGGCACTCTGTACCTCTTTTGTCTCTGAAGCTTCAGGAGGTGATACACTCTTAGTTTTAAAACTAAGTCGTGAACCACCACTCTTAGCTAAGATTTCTGGTGCAAACTTTTCGATTACATTTTTCGACAGTTTCTTAGACTTCAGGAGTCCTACTGCCTCTTGGATGAGGACATCCAATGGGTTACTGCACAATTTGCACAGCCGCGGAGATGATGGCTTCCAACATCTCTTATAGACTACTGGTGATAAACCGGTGCAAACTTTGTGGAACCACAGACTGCAGTTGTCACACTGCATCCCATCATCCACTGGAAAGTGGCAGCCCGGTTGTTGGCTCATAACTCTGTAGTTTGTTTAACCTGCACAAATGTATACACATGAAAATAATGAGGTAAAAACCACACAAAAATGCAAAGTGTGAATAAAATGAAAAACACTTCGACTAAATAAATCAGTTAAAGTGGACTAAAGAGGATCTGATGCTACTTAAGCAAACATTAACAAAAGTTACTTCACAACGTAAAAGATGCCACTCTTTTCTTCAAAGTAACATCAGGGATAACATAGGAATGAGGTCCGTGCCTTCAGAAGCACATGATAGCGGCATCAGTGAAGCCGCAAGTTATGTCATTAACTTGAACAAAGGCACTGGGTTATTTACAGAAGTACTGCTAGCCAAGCTGAGGACTTCGTTCTAAATCACTTGAGGGCGTGGAGCAATAAAAATAAGTGTCTGGTAGTTGGTGACTTTAACGCTCCACATATTGATTGGGGGGAGGGAATTAAAACCCACTAGTTTGTATACCTGTTTCAATAGGGGGCTCACACTGACGGTGCTTGAATGTGCACTTGTGCAACACATGCATACACCAACACGGTATCACCCTGAACATGAACCATCTACTCTAGACGTGGTACTAACACACCGGAAGGATATTGGTGACATTAGGTGCCTTCCGCCGCTTGGCAGCAGTGACCACTTAGACATTACTTTTACGTTTAAGATTCATACTATCAGACATAGGTCAACAACTGCTCGTTTGAAAATTGGGAAAACGTATTTACCGGTTCTCTCCTCGAAAGCTATCGCATAAGCCACCTTGGTCACTAGTGAAATAAGGAGGCTATTAAGATGAAGGAAGAACTTATGGGATCAATTTATCATGACAGGGGAGGGGATTTCCAGAAGGACTATCGCAAAATTCGAAATCTCTGTAAGTATATGATTGACAAGAGTCGTATGGAGTACGAGAGACAGCTAGTTGTGGATTTTGTTCATTACCGAAAAAGCCTGTACTCATATATTAAACGTAGGACTCGAACTACCAGTGGTACACCGTCACTCATAAGCATTAGTGGAGAAGCGGCTGAGTCAAACGAAGGAAAGGCTGAAAACCTCTCCGAATACTTCTGTGACGTCTTCTTATCTGATCGTACCACACAGGGATTTGGCGAGGTCACTGCCATCGCTACTAAGATGCCTTCAATTGTGGTAGAACACAGAACGGTCCTCAAACTACTGTCTAAACTGAAACCAGGTAAATCCCCTGGGTCCGATGGACATCATCCTGAACTGTTAATTTCCTTGGTGGATATAATATATATTCCACTTACGGAGATTTTCCGAATGTCTCTGACACAGGCTAAGCTACCCAAGGACTGGAAGGATGCCATTATAAGGCCTACCTTCAAAGAGGGGAACAGGCAATTGGTATCTAACTACCGGCCGGTAAGTCTGATATGAATTGTAGCAAAGGTATTGTAAACAATTATAAGGGATCAGCTATTGGCTCATGTGGAAAAACACGGCTTGTTGGCGGTGGGACAGCATGGATTCCGACCAGGATGATCCTGCCTGACAAACCTACTATTGACTAGGGAAGACTGGGTTGAGATCAGAGATAAAAGCCTTCTGATGGACGTGGTTTTAATCGATCTTAGTAAGGCATTCAATACAGTATCCCATTTAGGTCTCCTTAGTAAACTTAAAGGTTTCGGACTAGACCAATGCCTATGCGAGTGGTTTAGGGATAACCTAATGGATAAAAGGCAGAAAGTTAGAGTCAACAGTGTACTGTCAGGGTGGAAAGCAGTATGCAGTAGAGTGCTTTAAGGAACTATTAGGCCCATTGCTATTACTATTATACGTTAATGAACTACCGGGGATTCCTACTTCATCATTATTTGCAGACGACATTAATACCTGGAAAACGGTAAATAATAACGATGACATGCTGGCCCTAAAGAGTGATCTAGATGAATAAGCTGAGTGGTCGAACATGTGGAGTTTGGAAATTAATTCTAGGAAAAGTGCAGTAATGCGCTTAGGTGAGAAGTCTCATACGCCATCCTCCCTAGGGGACACAGAACTACCTGATGTTACGGACAGAAGGACCTAGGAATAATTGTCAGCAGTGGTTTGACAGCAACGGCGAGTTGCAACGCAGTCGCAGTTAAGGCTTTTCGAATGCTATGGGCACTTCGAGGAGCTTTGAAACGATTAGATGGCTCTATTGTCAAAGTACTCTAAGCAGAATATGTCAGGCCTCATCTAGAATAATGCATACAAGTGGTTAATCCATGCTTCAAGAAGGAGGGCCATATCTTAGAAACAGTACAAAGGGTAGGAACCAAATTAGTTAGTGGTATCTCACACCTGCCCTATGACATAAGGATGGAGCATTTAAATATTTTCCCGTTGTCATACCGAAAGGAGATAGGCGACCTTATGCTGGTATATGGTGTGTACTTAAGGGCCATTTAGGAGCTGACCTTTCTAACCATTTCTCCCCTTTTAGGATACATTTACGGGTTGCTGGATAAAAAGGTGTTCAAACTGAGGACGATTACCATTCGTGCGGAAAGATTCTCTCACAGATTGGTCAACAACTGGAACTCCTTACCTTATTCAGCAGCGGTAGCTCGACGAATGAATAGGCACATGTCTACTATTCGTAGCACTAAAATGTCAATCTGGAGCGTACCACTCTCATTTTACAAATCGCGCGCATCATACCCACGCATACCGGCGGTATATCACTTTCAGCTTGATTGTAGAACCTGGAAAGGAAAGACTAATGCAAAGAACAGCAGGAAAATGAATCAATTTTAATTACAGGCAAGAGTTAAACAATAGCGTCCCATGAGTGCGAACGCTTCAATGACCTTGACCGCATGGTAGTCATTATCATCCGTCATTATCATAGCTGAAATATCAAAGCTGTTCACCAGCTTAGGAGCGAATTTCATCCAGATCACCTTTTTTAACCACTGTTTGGACGATATGTTAATAGCTCGTTAGGGTTAGGATTGGTAATAAGTTAAATATTGGGGTTAGGATTACGATTAAGGTTAGGGTTACTGTC